CCTTGCATAAAATTAACATAGCAAAATGTTCTTTTGATGTGTAAAGTGGTCTTGTCACTGGCCTGTCCAAGAATGAACAGTATGTGTTTCACTATCTTCAATATATATATATATATATATATATATATAATATATATATATATACATACATAAAATTACAATATCCCTACTATAAGGTGATAAGGAACACTGTTACTGGCATACACTTGCCTGGTGATGTTGGAACTGGTGTGGCGGTGGTCAGGAAAACTGTTGCTTGCTGCACTGGTCTGGTGTGGTGGCAGTCAGAAACACCTATTCTAGCTATACTGGTCTGGCGACACTGACTGGTATAGGGTGATAGAAAATATGTTATGCACTATTAGCGCTTGTTCACACATGAGGATGTGGGGCAGCAAAACTTTGTGGTTGAGCCATGGTTTTACTAGTCCTCAACCACTACCCTCTTTAGCTACAGAGGTAGTGTCTGAAGGTGAACAAATGCAGCAGCTGTGATGCTTTTCTTGGCAGCTGTGGAAAGCATTATGCCCCCTGTATTCCTGCCCATTTTGACCCAATCAAGTAAATTTGCTTGTGGGAGTCCAAGGGGTTAAACAAGGTAGTGAGCAGGCAATACAATCCTTCCTCACTGTAAAAAAAATATAATTTTTTTCAATCTTATTTTTACAATTTTTTTTTACATACTGTACTACTCTGAGAAAGTGATCAGGATTTTTTTTAAAACTATGATTGCTTATTACAGTTGTGATCAATGTAAAAGTAATCATTTTAACTATCATGAATGGCTTTCATTCATGATTTATTGTTTACTATTGTGAGTGCTGTGACCGGCCACAGCTATTTGGGTCCTGCACCATGTGATCACTATGGCCAATTCCAGAGATCACAATAGTAAACAATGCTATCATGATTGGATACCATTCATGACAGTTGTTTAATAGTGAACACGTGATCACTGTGATTGGCCAAGGTACCATATGATTGCTGTGACCAATCACAGCAGCCTCATCCTGAGAACTGTGGCCTGGAGGTTCCCACAGAGGTCACAGATTGCATTGCTACAATAGAGATGAGGTACAGGTATCTCCTCTGGGAACAACAGAGCACCCACCTGGCCATTTATATACATTGGTTTAAATGTAAGTACTGTGCTGAATTTTTTCAACCACTTTCTGCTCAGCCAAAGTGTCCCTTGAGTTGGTGCCAGTTGTCATCCTCTGTTCTCTGCCCCCTCCCATACCTTGCAGCTGTAATCTTCTAGTGCTGTGGGTGTTAATAGAGCTGAGGACCCTGTCACATGATTCCATTATTAAAAGCACTCTATAAATGGAAGAGATAGACCTTTCGTTCATTCACCCTTCCTCCATTCATAGATAGCTTTTCATTCATGGAAGCTATAGTACAGCTTCTATGATAGAAGGAGGGGGGCAGGAAGGGCGGGCATAGTCGCACTTTTAATGAGTGTCTGTGACAGGTTATTTGGCTCTATTAACTCCTGAAGCACCAGAATATTATTGCTGCTGGGTATTGGAGTGGGGAAGAGGACAGAGGATATCAACTATTACAACAAGCACTGTCCCTTAGGCCATTTCTTTTTGTTAAAGTTACCTAAACGTAGGCTTTACTAACTGGTTATCATTACTGAGGTGTATTTGTACAATCATGTTAGTGGTTCTAAGAAAATAGACACACTCTTGAAAAGTGTAATCGTGTTTTCAATAAGAGGAGGAGGGGGGTGTGGCAGAATTTTGGCTGTTGTCACTTGGCCATTCATTTGCTGACCAGAGGTGAGAAATCTGTAAGGGGAAAGATGTATAAGACCTAATTTCTGTTTTATAACTATGTGAGAACATTTAAACAAGTATGGTGGGATTTCATGGTGTGTTATGAACTGATTACCAAGAAGAAATATTATGCAGCACCATATAAAATTTTGAGAAACAGACACAAGATTTGAAGAACAACTGTCACTGAAATAATATAATTTGAGTTATTTATTTCTTCAATGTATTTATTATCACACATTGTGTGGAGAAGTACAAGCATTTCTTTCTATGCTTTTTTTTTTTTTTCACATATCATGGTATGCTATATTTATGATTGGGATCATTGGTCATGTTTGTTTGTATAATTACTATGTGGCACTATTTAAATGGTATTTATGTTTGGAGTGTGGGCAGCAGTAAAACACTTTGTCATATAGAATTTTTGGAGTACAACTGGATTTTTCTTAGTTTATTATATTGGTTGCCAAGGAAATCTGTATGTTGCACGCAGCAGCTTCTTTTAATGATATCTTTTCCAATATGTTTGTAAATTCATTTTTATCTTTCTACTAACAAAGTATGTCTAAATCTGCTACACTATGCCATTGTACATTTTGTTTTCATAGTTACTGTGTGTAAGATAAGCAAGTTGGCTTTCAAAGCGTCATAAATAAACAATTTATTTCCCTTAATATTTCTATTTTTCATTATAGTATTTTGGTCCTAATTTTGCAATTTGCCAAAATATTTTTTTTCTACATAAGGACATGTTGTTCTTTAGTTTGTGCATTTTACAGTTACAGATTTATAAATTAGTTGCCTGCAAGCCATCTTCTTGCATGCAGAATGTTTCAGACTTTTTTAAAAGATGAGATTAAGAAAATTAAGAAACTGATTTCAAGCTTTTAGAATTCTATGATATCTTTACTTAATGTGCCTGTCCACATTGTTCCACTTGTATACAGTTGTCATCTACATTTAAAGTGGAAAATCACTCTCTCAATCAACATTGGCAATTTTTAATCCTTATGCTGCTAGCATTAGTAAATGGATAATAAAGTATATCATATTTGCTTGTTTTAAACTTTTTTGTTTTACATTTATTCAGTTACGTCCTGGTTTCTATGCCTAGACAAAGTATGTCATATATCCCAAGAGTCTTCAGTAGGTGAGGATGAGAGAAGGGGCTTTCTCAACTAAGCAAACCCTCTCCTGCTTGCATGTCTGAGCTAAGGCCAGATGGATTCCAGGAAGTAAATGCTACATGAATCACTTGCTCTTACTCAAGATGGCTATGGCCGAAAATGCTAGGGGGTGTTTTCCAAAGTGATTTCTTGAAAAAATAAAGCATAAAGACATGGGTGGGGAACTTGCTTTGAATTTTAAAAATTAATTAAACAACATTTTTGGTTTATGGTACTCAGATGAAGTGTAGTTTCACTTTGATGAGACTGTTTTTTATTAAAGGATTTGAGAATGTTTGCACAATATAATTGGTGAAAACCCACTCCAATTAAGCCTGATACACACTAGAGGTTTTTTTTTTCATTCAACCCAGTAGACTGAATGAAAAAAAAAAAGAAAACCTGAGAGATAGCTGTACAAATACTAGCAATGTTGGTGCAGTGATTCACCCCCTCCCTGCTGTGCATTTGTGTTCTGACAGGGAGACTGTCCTACCAGAACACATTGATTAGCGCTTACAGCCATTGGCTGCCAGCTCTGATTAGATGCGGGTCAGATGCTGGTTTTCCAACATGTCTGACAGAAGCCAGTCATGATACCAGTTTATATAAAACAGACAGCTGATTTCAGCCAAATTTCTGCCCATGTGTACAAGGCTTTAGCTGATCATGTGAAAAAAATCCCGGTTTGCTTTTTTCATCCACACTTGATTGGATAATTGAAGTATTTCTTTAAACGTTTTATTGTGTGAACATTCTCAAATCCTTGAGTAAACCAGTCTTATTGTCTCTGGTTGTCTTTTGCAATCTTTGAATAATTTCACAGATCAGGCAAATTACTGGAATTGATTTCCCAAAGGAGTGATATATATTCACTGTGTTTGAAAAAATACTTCTGGTTATGAAAGAAACCATAGACACACAGAAATTCTAGGGGCAAACCACTGTAAATGTGGAAGTCTGTGCAGTGTTAGTATGCATCAAACAATATCTCCAATTTCTCCAAAATGGCACTAAAATGTTTTAAGCGGAGGTGTATCTTGTGCCTGCCATTTTTGTGAATGTTTTTTAGAGGGACTGGGTTTGCAATTCCATTACTTATCCTTCATTGACAGAATATAGCACACTCCATAAATGGCTGACAATATGTCAAATAGTTTAACAGATCATGTGACTGGACTTTCTTTTTAACCTGGATTATAAATCTATATTATGCATTTTTGCACTTAGCTGAACCTCAACCCTGTTGAATTCTAAGGAACCATATATACTCAATGACAACACGGCACTCAGGATGCTCCACATTTTGTTCATATTCCAGCAGTGTTGGGTTCAATCACATCAGGTAAAAATCAGCAGGCTGCAGTCAGAGGGTACTTGCTTGCTGCCTTTTCTTCCCTGGACACCCAGGCTGCAGGACTGGATAAGAATATTGTTTGAACTGTAAGGGGAATTCCACACAGGTTTCCCCTCTTTTCCTATTATTTTGAAATTACTGTATTGTACATATTTTGCAACAGCACATGCAGATGACCACTGAACACACCACATAAAAAAGGGTGCATTAAAAAATATCTCACCTAGGTTAGCTTACAGCCAAAGCTCCACAAAAGACCTGAGGAATTCAAGCTAAGAAAAATGTACACATATGTACCACCTTCTTTTCTCCCGCCCATGTTGGTGCAGCTCTTTCGTGTAGCAATATTTTATGCTGCAACTTCTGGTTTTATAGGTTTAACTGCAAATAAAATAAAATTGGTTGATTTTGTAATTTTCTCAAGAGATTTCTGGGCAGGGGTCATTCATATATGCAGTTTTAGTATCATATGGATAAACTGACGATATATTATTTTCTGCAATCAAAATGAAAGGCAGTTGGGCAGAGCTTGCCCAAAGTGTTGATGCCAGCTCCTAGTGAGGGAAGGTGGAAATAAATTGTTGAATTATTTTGGCAAAGATGTAGTTTTACAAACTACTTTGAACAATAGATGGAAAACACATACAAATAGTGATGATTCCGTTCAGTGTAATCAAATATACACTATATTGCCAAAAGTATTGGGACACTCCTCCAATCACCTTCACGGCCACAGGTGTATAAAAAAAAGTACCTAGGCATGCAGACTGCTTCTACAAACATTTGTGAAAAATTGTGTTGCTCTCAGAAGCCCAGTGAATTCAAGCATGGTACCGTGATAGGTTGCCACCTGTGCAGTAAGTCGATCTGTGAAATTTCCTTGCTACTAAATATTCCACGGTCATCTGTTAGTGGGATTAGAACAAAGTGGAAGCAACTGGGAACAACAGCAACTCAGCCAAGAAGTGGTAGGCCACGCAATATGACAGAGTGGGGTCAGCACATGCTGAAGCGCACAGTGCACAGAAATCGCCAACTGTCTGCAGAGTCAATAGCTAAAGACCTCCCAACTGCATGTGGCCTTCAAACTAGCACAACAACAGTGCATAGAGAGCTTCGTGGAATGGGTTTCCATGGCCGAGCAGCTGCATCCAAGCCTTACATCAGCAAGTGCAATGCAAAACGTCTGATTAAGTGTTGTAAAGCATGCCACGCCACTAGAGCAGTGGAGACATGTTCTTTGGAATGATGAATCACACTTCTGTGTCTGGAAATCTAGTGGAAGTGTCTGGGTTTGGCGGTTGCCAGGAGAACAGTACTTGCCTGACTGCACTGTGCCAAGTGTAAAGTTTGGTGGAGGGGGAATTATGGTGTGGGGTTGTTTTTCAGGGCTTGGGTTTGGCCCCTTAGTCCAAAATTTCTTGGTATGTTGACACTTTAAGAGTTCCCTTCACTGGAACTATTTCATGTTCCCCACTTTTTTGTAAACAGTTTAGGGATGGCCTCTTCCTGTTCAAACATGACTGTGCACCACTGCACAAAGCAAGGTCCAAAAAAAATGAATAAGTGAGTTTAGGAAGGAGGAACTTGATTTACCTTCATAGAGTCTTGACCTCAACCCGATTAAACACCTTTGGGATGAATTAGAGGGCAGACTACGAGCCAGACCTTCTCGTCTGACATCAGTGCCTGACCTCACAAATGCGCTCCTGGAAGAATAGTCAAACATTCCCATAAACACACTCCTAAACCATGTGGAAAGCCTTCCCAGAAGAGTTGAAGCTGTTATAGTTTTGGCAATATAATGTATCTAAAACAAATACTTTTTTTTAGTAAAGCTGACAGTGATGGATGCAGATTAAAGCTTCACTTTCATTGGGGTCATAGAGAAACAGTAGTGATTCCTCAATATTCAGAATTAGCCAAGTATGTATTCCTCAAAACAGACAATGGCCACAGCCACAGAGTCAGCCTACCCTTTTGTATTTGTAGGTGACAAAGTATTCGGCCAATTTGTTGGGGCCCTTCTGTAAGGTGGATCACATGAAGCTGTCCCTTGAAGAATGTGTAATAAGAGCTGCTAAGTAAAGAGAAGTTTCTTTTGCATTAACTGTGTGTATCAAGGGATTAAAGGATAAGTGCACCTTTTAGACAAAAATAATAAATGCATTTATTATTTTTGTCTACAGGAGCCTGGAAAGCATTGCACCAGCGGTCAGTAGATCACTGCTGCCATGCAGGTCTCCTGCAGATGTGTCAGAATATCTGTTTGCCATATGGGATGTACAAACAAGCAGAAATTCTGACAGGAAGCTTCAATAAACTACCATGGTGCTCCACAGCGCCATGGTAGTTCATTGAAAACTACAAACCGGCAGCTGCTAGGCTATCGGGACTTGCAGTTCATTCATTCATGGAAGTCTGTGAATGAATTATGCGGCCATGAGGGAGGAGCTGGGAACGGCCATGCTGTTTTCAAATTTGACAGATAGTATGGGGACACTTCTCCCCATACTATCTGTCAGAGGGAGGGAAGGAGCGGCTATGGGAACATGTTACATCTTCCACTTACCCTTTAATTGTTCTATTTCTCACTACACATGGCAGGTCACAGGTCAGGTTTCATATGCTTTGTGGTCAGCTGTTCCAGAAGTCACAGTCCTCATGATTAGTTCCTCACTGGCTCTCCATGACAGTAAGCACACACACCAATAGTTACACCATTGTTTGTCCCTGCTCACCATTGTGGTGAGCAGGGACAAACAAACATTTTAATAAAAGAGTAGAGGATTGCTTATTCAGATACTACTGTAGTATAACATGTCCACTTGGACAAATTTTATCTCATAGCTTGGTGCATGTAGTGAAACTGTGTCAATTGGAAACCTAAAGCATGTGCACAGACAACATGATTTTGATATACACATGTTTAGATAGTCTGAGTCTGCACAGCATCACATTCTAAAAAAAAATCATCCTGCAAAGAGAACGCACTCTACTCTGTTAATAAATCTGCACTTCTGTATTATACAGAGAATGCTGTAATCAAATTACAAAAAAGCAACAGACAAATGATGGACTATAAAATGTTTAATAGTGAAACATTTTGTAATTGATGTAATGATGTAAAAAGTGCAACTGAGTATATAATATACCCCAGAGCTACCCTGTACTCAGACCATATAAAAAGTGTGATTAACACTCCCTGGTATAAAGTGCAAATCTATTCAATTATCTCCACTATTCAAGTGCATGTAGAAAAAATTCCCAATACAATCTAACATCCCTCACTATTATACCATATATCAATAAGTCAAAATAAGGTGCAAATACAGATAAAGTGCAACATGTACACATATAACAGAATATCAATATCATATAACATCCCCTTTCATTGTGCAAAATAATAAAAACTCAAATAAGGTGCAAAGATTTCAAAATAAAGTGAAAAATATTTTTTTTAAATTATAATAATGTCCCTCTCATGTGTAAGACAGTCCACCTATGAAAAATAAACTTCTTAGATCTTAACACCACCAAACTGTGCTGTTCCACCACCAAATTAATTGAATGAGCAATATGCTGGTCAGATCATAAACCGGCTAAAGCGCATGTTGCTCTTGGAGTAATGCTCTGCAGTGTTGTAACTCAGGCTTCTCAGGCAATAGTATCTTTCATACACTCAAGAGGAAAAAGAACAGGGGAGCTTCCATAGCGTAAAATCATCAACTGACTTATTATGTAAAGACATAATAGCAAACTCCAACAGTTCAGTAATACATTTCCTCAGTTTCCTCTTTAAATTTGTTTTTTTATCTATTGCCCATTTAACAGCTTCTTTGGCATCATCCTGATCAATACTTGTATTTAATGACTCAACATCCATTATCACAAAAAAATCATCCACTTTTATACTAATATTCTTTAACAATTTAAAGGAGCCTAAGTGTTTGATATGAAAGATTCCTAGGATCCTGACAATATATTACCCTCAAAATTCATAAAAATATGAAACAACCCCTGGAAGACCCATTGTAAGTGGGGTAGACTCCATTATTTCAAGCATATTTGGATTTTTTTTTGCAGGATATAGTAATTAAAAATTAAGCCTTTTCAAAGGACAGTGGAGAACTCATTTAATTGTTAAAGAATATTAGTATAAAAGAGGATGGTTTTCTCATTACAATAGAGTTGTTATATACAAATATTTATCAGGATGATGCCAAGGAGGCTGTTAAACGGGCGTTAAAGGACAAAATGAATTTAAAGAGAAAACAGAGGAAATTTATTACTGAACTGTTGGAGTTTGCCATGTCCAATAACTTCTTCTGGTATAATAACATTTTTGATTTTATCGATTGATATATGGTATAATATTGGGGGATGTTAGATGGTATTAGAGATTTTTTTCTGCATGCACTTGAATAGTGGAGATAATTTAATAGCTTTTGCACTTTATACCAGGGAGTGTTTATCACACTTTTTATATGGTCTGAGTACAGGGTAGCTCTGGGGTATATTATAGACTCAGTTGCACATTTTTAGGGAGGTAATTGATTGATTGCACATTGTGGGTTGTGATTTAAAGAAAGATAGTGCTGTTCCATATTTTACCAGATTTGATTGCTGTTTGTATATCACGAATAGCAACGGCCATGAGTGTACAGTCAGGTCCATAAATATTGGGACATCGACACAATTCTAACATTTTTGGCTCTATACAGCACCACAATGGATTTGAAATGAAATGAACAAGATTTGCTTTAACTGCAGACTGTCGGCATTAATTTGAGGGTATTTACATCCAAATCAGGTGAACGGTGGAGGAATTACAACAGTTTACATATGTGCCTCCCACTTGTTAAGAGACCAAAAGTAATGGGACAGAATAATATTCATAAATCAAACTTTCACTTTTTAATACTTTGTTGCAAATGCTTTGCACTCAATTACAGCCTGAAGTCTGGAACGTATAGACATCACCAGACGCTGGGTTTCATCCCTGGTGATGCTCTGGCAGGCCTCTACTGCAACTGTCTTCAGTTCCTGCTTGTTCTTGGGGCATTTTCCCTTCAGTTTTGTCTTCAGCAAGTGAATGCATGCTCAATCGGATTCAGGTCAGGTGATTGACTTGGCCATTGCATAACATTCCACTTCTTCTTTAAAAAACTCTTTGGTTGCTTTTGCAGTATGCTTTGGGTCATTGTCCATCTGCACTGTGAAGCAACGTCCAATGAGTTCTGAAGCATTTGGCTGAATATGAGCAGATAATATTGCCTGAAACACTTCAGAATTCATCCTGCTGCTTTTGTCAGCAGTCACATCATCAATAAATACAAGAGAACCAGTTCCATTGGCAGCCATACATGCTCACACCATGACACTACCACCACCATGCTTTACTGATGAGGTGGTATGCTTAGGATCATGAGCAGTTCCTTTCCTTCTCCATACTCTTCTCTTCCCATCACTCTGGTACAAGTTGATCTTGGTCTCATCTGTCCATAGGATGTTGTTCCAGAACTGTGAAGGTTTTTTTAGATGTCGTTTGGCAAACTCTAATCTGGCCTTCCTGTTTTTGAGGCTCACCAATGGTTTACATCCTGTAGTCAACCCTCTGTATTCACTCTGGTGAAGTCTTCTCTTGATTGTTGACTTTGACACACATACACCTACCTCCTGGGGAGTGTTCTTGATCTGGCCAACTGTTGTGAAGGGTGTTTTCTTCACCAGGGAAAGAATTCTTCGGTCATCCACCACAGTGGTTTTCCGTGGTCTTCTGGGTCTTTTGGTGTTGCTGAGCTCACCAGTGCGTTCCTTCTTTTTAAGAATGTTCCAAACAGTTGTTTTGGCCGCGCCTAATGTTTTTGCTATCTCTCTGATGGGTTTGTTTTGTTTTTTCAGCCTAATGATGGCTTGCTTCACTGATAATGACAGCTCTTTGGATCTCATCTTGAGAGTTGACAGCAACAGATTCCAAATGCAAATAGCACACTTGAAATGAACTCTGGACCTTTTATCTGCTCATTGTAATTGGGATAATGAGGGAATAACACACACCTGGCCATGGAACAGCTGAGAAGCCAATTGTCCCATTACTTCTGGTCCCTTAACAAGTGGGAGGCACATATGCAAACTGTTGTAATTCCTACACCGTCACCTGATTTGGATGTAAATACCCTCAAATTAAAGCTGACAGTCTGCAGTTAAAGCACATCTTGTTCGTTTCATTTCAAATCCATTGTGGTGGTGTATAGAGCCAAAAAAGAATTGTGTCGATGTCCCAATATTTATGGACCTGACTGTATATTGTTTGAATTTTTAACATTCTCAGCATTATTTCTCTGTTGTG